CACAGCATGGCACAGCACAGCACAGCATGGCACAGCACAGCACCTCACTGCTCAGCACAGCACAGCACAGCATGGCACAGCACAGCACCTCACGGCTCAGCATGGCACAGCACAGCACCTCATGGCTCAGCACGGCACAGCACAGCACCTCACGGCTCAGCATGGCACAGCACAGCACCTCACGGCTCAGCACGGCACAGCATGGCTTGACATGGCTGAGCATGGCACAGCTGGGCTGCTCCATCTCCCTTGAGCATCCCAACCAGCAGAAGAAGGGTCAGGAAGCACTAGCCTGAGGTCTGCTAATAAATGAATCTGCTCAGGATCAGGGTAGCTCCTATGGGAGAAGGGTAGATGCAAGGTTCCCAAGCACAGCAGAGTTGCACATAAAGCTCATTTGGACGCATTATTTTTTCTCACAGAAAAAATGTGGCAAAAGAAAGCAAAAGAAAATAGTTTTGTATTGAGCAAAACACTTTACTCCACTGTGCAAGCAAGGTGGTCCCAGCAAAGCTGGGCAGGGGCAGCAGGAGAGGCAAAGCTGGGTGCCTCCCATGCAGGCTTCCTCTCCCCCAGGGCCACCAGGCTCTATATCCATTAATGGGAGAGTTCAAAGCAGAAAGGCAACAATTTCCCTCTGCCTCCTCCTTAATTTGTCCCAGTCCGGAATCACAGAAAATGAATAAAGATATTTATCCCTCACTACAGGATTTTAATTGTCGCTAATCTAATTGCTACTCTGTCCAACTCTCACAATGCCTGTGCTCATTAAGATGTTGCTGGTGTTTGCTGGAGCTCATTTCTCAGAAATGTCTTGCTGCAGCACTCCTGCCTGCTGTGTGATAAGGCAAACCCCAGCACCCCTCCTCTTCTTGCTGCATGGGCAGAGCAAATAACTGCTGCTGTCTGCTGTTGGAAAAGAGTTTGCTCTCTTTCTTGCAGAGCACAATCCATGCCTACCCTGGGCCGTATGGCTGCAGTGGATGGAAACCCTGTCAGTCTGTGCTCACCCTGCGCAGTGTTGGGTCCCGGTGGTGCTGGGCGGGTGGGATTGGTGGTAGCCAGAGGCTGCAACTTGGGTGTTGGAGCTGCTGTGCCCAGCTCTGGCAGAGTCCCGCGGTCCTTGGGGCGAGGAGCCAGAGTCCCAACCTCGATCTGCAAAACAGATGGGGCATGAAGGCTGAGCAAGTTCTCCCAGTCCCCTTTGGGGTACTGGACACCTCTCATAGGAAAGCCAGCTGCTCCTTCAGCAGCTTTCCTGGCCCTTCAGAATCTACTCTCTACTACCCAGAGGGATGCAAACACTTTTTCCTTGTCTTCGCATGGTTCATCCTATAGCAATACTCAGCCCAGGCAGGACACAAGGAAGCAGGAGAAATTTGGGATTGGGTAAAGCCTTCCCAACAGCAAAACAAGTGGAAGAAACACCAACGCTCATAGGCTTGTGCAAGGGGCCGAGTTTGTTCTCCAGCCATGGCCCACAAGAACCAGCTGTGGTCCATTTCTCGGGGCATCCCCTGCCTCCTTCCCCAGGTGAGCCCTGCCCTACATGCCCTCCTGTTCCCCTCACCTTGGGAGCCAGGTCACCATAGTCATAGAGCTCCTCATAGTTGTTCAGGTCCATGATGTCCCCATAGCTGTCCAGAGTCATGTCATAGTTCTCCAGATCGAGGTTTTCATAAAGCACAAGGTCAGGTTTTGGCTTCTCCACCTTCTTCCTTTCCTTCTTGGCTGGGACAGCCCAGGTTGCTCCCAAACACAGGCTGGCGATGCCCACCCAGGCCAGAGTCTGCATCCTGTGCCCTAAAGCCATCTACCCTAAGACAGCTGCAAAGCGGTGAAAGCAAAGAGAAGGGCAGGAAGGCAGGATGAGCACGCTGGCCTCGCTCTGCAGCCGTGCCAGGGACTGCAGTGGGGGATGAGCTTTTATTTTCTTCTCAGCCCATTTCACGCCTGGCTGCACGGCTGTGCAGGAGAGGCCCCAAGCAGCTGGGCTGCCCTCACTTTCCCAGCCCTGAGGAGGTGATGAGGGGCTCGGAGCACCACCCACTCCCAGCAAGCAGAGCAGTCTGGCCCCACCCACTCCCAGCAAGCAGAGCAGTCTGGCCCCAGCAGCCCCCCAATACAACTCTCCCATACAAACAACCCAGAGTGCATCTGGTTCGAGAATGCTGCTCCTAATTTCCACTTTTCCTGCAGATCAAACCATTACAAGAGCAATAAAATCCATTAGCCTCCTGTGTGCAACATCAACACCCAGTTCACCCAGACCCACCGCTCACCCCAACCCTACATGGAGCCACTGGGCTCAGTGCAGAAGGAGCAGAAAGAAGGAAGACAGCATGCACATACCCCCTTTCCCCTCCTTGGCACAGAACTCCGCTCCTGTGGGCTGTTGCTGGCCTGGAAAGTGCTGCTGGGTTTTTAATACCTGGAGAGGATCGGTGGAAGGACCTGGCGCAGTTCCCGCTGTGGGGAGAGGTAAGACATGGCCAATCAGACTGGCAGCCTCCAGCTGTCCCCAGCACTCCACTGCGACCTTACTTTGTTTCCACGGACAAGCCAGAGCCGTGGTGGCTTTCCTCCAACTGCCTGGGTTTGTGTTGGGGCTGTGATGGATGAGATGGGATGGCATCAGGACCGTACTCTACTCCCTACACTCTGTGTCCCCAAGGATGATGGGGACACGCAGTTCTTTTCAAAGAGGGCATAGTGGGCTGCCCCAACAGCCCAGATCCTACCAAGGCAAGGAGCAATTTCTACATGTGGCTGTTTCATGGATGCAGGATTGGCAGAGCATCAGGTGCAGCCCCAGCTGCTGAGTGGGGTTTCCATCAAGGTGCAGTGAGCACCCCAGCCTTGGGGAGGGTGTGCGGGGACTCCTGCTCCCCAGCCTTTGGACGTCCTCGCTCAGCACATGCCCAGAAGCAGCCAAGTACCCTGTGACATTCGGCTCATCTGCCCCCCTCACTTTTCCCCTCTGCTCAGTCCCTCTGTGCAGTGCTGTTTTGGAAACTTGGAGCGGTCTGTGGAGAGGGAGCAGGCACAGACTGGGAGCAGCACCACTCTCACCACCAGAGTGGGGTGGGAGAAGTTCCCCTCTTCCCCTCCATGCACCCACGTGTGCAGTAGAGCTGCTGGCTCCCTGCCACCTGCGGCTCCTAGCCCTGCTGCATCCTCTGAGTGTTGAGGATGTGTCCTACAGGGCTAGGACACCTCAAGATGGGCTGGGTGTGCACACCAGCCCCTTCGGCTCCATCAATACTGGGCAGCACGGTGCACATGCAGCCACCCACCACTGTGAAAACGTTCATCTCTCTTGCACACAGATCGCAGCCCACACGCTCACCCACCCGAGACGTCATGCCCATCTGCCACTTCTTTCTGACAGGCAAGGACACCCTCGCAGCGGGGACCATCCTTGTCCACGCACCCACAGGCCCAGCACACCCAGCTGTGTGGTGTGGCTGAGCTGTCCCACACACGTCCCATGTCCCACGCACGTTCCCCTCTTGCCAAAGCAGCCCCGGCCCCCTCGGGAAACAGTGGAGCAAAGGGCTGCCGCTAATCCCCATTAAGCCCCTCATTAGGCGGCTCAGCAGCCACGGTGATGGAGATGACATGGCAGCTCGGGGGCACCACGGCGCAGCCCCCCTTGTTTCTTCAGTGTTGGGTTCTTTGTCTCGAGTGGCAGCCACGTCGAAGCACGGGGTTCATGTGCCCATCACAAAGTACAGATTTTATTCTACAGCAGAAAAACAGGAGAGCTAGCTGCCTGCTCTGTATGGCGCATGCACACACCTGTGTGCCCCATGCCAGAGCCCACACGTTCCCTCCAGACCCACACCCACCCTCCCTCTCTGCTCATGATTCGCGTGGGGAGAGCAGCAGCAAAAAGAGATTTTGAACCTGCAGTGATGGGCAGAAGATAAATTGCTGCCCACACCGATTCTGCTTGTGTGAAAGCACGCATGCAACCCGCACAACCACAGCGCTGGGGGTCCAGGCTTATTGCAGTGTGTCAGAAATGCTTTTCCTACATGTCCCAAAGTCCACCTGTGCCAACCGGAGGGGCAAACTCACCCCAAAGGCATTTGTCTGGCTTTCCTGGGAGCACCAAAGTGAGGTGGGGCACTTCAGCCCCAGTTTGAGACAACCCACCCCAGTGCAGTGCATGCAGCCATGCTGGGACAACAACACCCATCATCTGCATCCACAGCCCTGGGAGCTGCAGTCAAAGTTGGGCATTCCTAATTAGCAGAACTGTTCATTAGGCCAGGCCCATGCTCCAGAAACCTGATCACCACAGGTAGAGGAGAGCCCTGGGTGAGCAACAGACAAGCTCCAGCTTTTGGGAGGGCTGCCCTGTGCTGCCAAATGGAGCTGCTCCCATGCAACAGAGAAGATGCAGAGACAACCACAGCTCCAGGTCCCTTGTGAATCTCTTTATTTTCACTGCTGCAGAGAGTAGGAGTGAAAATACCATTAAGTTGAAATCAGTTGAGAACTACATATGTCTCTAGATATATCTGTACAGTCTACCAGTATATATACACATTATATATAAATATATACATAGGGTCTCCGGGTCTAAGGTTGAAACCTGTCAAACCCAACAAAGCCCATTGGAAGAAGACTTGGAGAGACTCATATTATTTAAAAAATCCTGAATATCATGGGAGTTTGCTGATCCTTCCTGTAGGAAGCATGCCCATCCCTTCCTGGGGAGTGGGACACAGTGCCTGTCCATGCCCACCCCAGAGAAGGGTCACTTTGGGGGATGAATACCAAGGCTGGTTTCTTTGGTTTATTGCTTTATATTTGTTTTGATTGGATTTTTTTCTCCTCAAATGTAAGTCCTGAGAATCAGGAAGGAAAAAAAAAAAAAGAGTAATCCCCTCTAAACCCGGACACCCTATATACGCAGGCACAGCTATCCAAGAGGGAAGTGATACATGTGGAAATGGGGAGAAGAGGGGATAAAAAACAGCTTTTCCAAAAGAGTAATTTTCCCTTTTCTTTTCCTCTCCTTAAAAATAATAATAATAATAATAAACAATCAAAAACCACAAGGCAAAACCAGACGTGTGTTCGGTCCAAGAAAGCGACAGAGTGAAACCTGCAGGAGGTGGGGGTGCAGAGAGGAGGGGAGGGCAGGGCGGGGGGAGGTCACCCAGCCAGCAAAGCCCAGATGTTCTTCACGTCAGCATCTCAGCACGGGGGCGGCAGGATGCGGGGGGGGGGGGGGGGGGGGGGGGGGGGGCTAAACCCGGGCGCGGGGGGCAGAACCAGGGGCGTGTATTGCAACCCCCCAGGCAGCAGCAGGGGTCGCCCCCCCCGCCCCACCCCCCCCTCCACCATCTCCTGCCCAATCGCCCTCAGCCACGCCGCCCCGAGAGCAAGGCTGCGGAGCTGCAGGAGGACGGCGTCCCGGCCCCGGGCCGTGGCTGCGGCCACGAGGTGTCGTTGCCGGCTCGGCCCGGCGGTCCCAGCCGGCGCCCCGCGCACCGAACCGGGCGGCGGCCGCGGGACCTCTGGGGAACGCCCCGGGATCGGGCTGGGACCCGCAGCGCCGCTCCGCCGCCGTCGGTTGGAGGTGACCGCAGAACCCGCTTGGATTGATGGGAGGCGGTGCGGGGACGGAGGGCTGCGCTTCCCAAAGCCGGGAGTCAGCCTCAGCGCGTGCTGCAGCCCCGAGCGCAGGGATGCAGCTGTCCCCAGATAGGCCGGTCTCGGCTTTCGTGGCTGTTTGGGTTTGGTGTTTGTGCAGAATACTGCTGCTCTGAGCTGAAATAGCTCCATCACAGGGCTGTGTGATTGCTGTCCTGCAGCACCGCTCGCTCCTGTGCCATCCCTTCCCCAAACAGCCTCCTCATCAGCTCCACCAGGACACGCTTTGGCTAGGACCGAGCCCATCCTCCCCAAACTCTGCCAGGTCCAGGGGAGAGATGAAGCCAGCTCCAGTGCTGGCAAAGGGCCAAGTGGGGAGGGGAGGGGGTGAGGGCAGGGGCAGGGTGACAGGAGTGTGACAGCATAGTGAGAGGTGACAGCCCCCCATGCAGCCCAGGCTGATGCTGGGACCTGGGACAGTTGCTGCAACATGATGCTGTCCTGCAGACAACCCCCGGGTACACAGAAGCCACCGCAGGCAAGGAAAGGGGGGAGGGAGGGGATGAGGAACAGAGAGGCCAGAGTGTGAGCAAGGGAAGGGGGAAGCAAAGAGAGTCCCGAGTGTCAAAAGCTGATGGGGTTCAAGTCTTTGTGCAAAGCCAAGTCATAGGAGAGGCACGCAGGGCTAGAAAACCACGGACTGCAGGAGGCGGAAACACATCATCAGGTCCAAGGGGATGGGGGGCTTCAGGAGGTTCCCGTCCAGCCGCAGGTACCGGAGCCGGGGCACGCTGTCCAGGTCGGAGGGGGAGAAATCCTGGATGGACATCAGTGAGGTGGGGCAGATCTGCGTCCCATTGATTTCTGCAGGGAAAGAAGGAGAAGAAGGGCATGGGTTAGAGGTAATGAGGAAAAGGAAGGCAGGGTGGGATGCTAGAGAACCATCCCCCTCTCCTCCATTTATTTGTCGCTATCTTCATAGGGTCACCCCCACAGTGGGTTTGCTTTGCTATCAAAGGGAGAATCCCCAGCCCCTGCAAGGGGCAGGGTGCAGACCAAGCAAGAGAGAAATCTTGCTTTTGTTCAGAAATGAAGCAGGTCACTCAGCCAAAGCAAGGTGAGGAATACAGAGAGCCAATTTGGAGACAAAAGGGATCATCACAACACGGTCAGTGCTTGGCAGGTAAGAAGACAGCTCCTGCCTTGCCCCTTCCTGATGCCACAGCCAGAGCCCGGTCCACAATTTTACATCTCCGTGGCAGCACACTGCTCTTCCATGTAAAGCTGCACAGTCACTGCCCAATAAACAAACACTGCAGCATGTGGAAGTGGTGGCGTCACGTCACCTGTTGGGACCAATGTCCTGCCTGGCAGCTGCTCCACAAATGAGTATTCCCTGTGCAGGTCCTGCAGCCCCCAAACCAGAGCCTGAAATATGAGAGCCCAGCTCTCTTTCCCCAATGCACAGAGGGTTTCTGGCAGGAGTGCAGCATTCTTGCTCCCCTGCAGATAGCAAGGACAGCAGGTCACTGGACCTCTAAAAGCAGAAACATCTGGCTTGACCAGGAATGGTTCTCTGCCTTCTTCTCTAATGTGCTGGCTGTGTTTACACACTTCACAGGCCAGCACCATCAAGTCGCTATGCTTTGCCTGGAGCAGCGTGAAACTGCTGAGGTTGGTTTGCCAAGACAACCTCCATCACAGCCCTGTTCTCCTTGTTCCTTCCTCTGTGAGGCTCTGCTTGAGAGTTAATCTGGGTTATTTCTAACCATCTTGACTGTGTATTTGGCATCAGTTTGTAAAACATGCACAGACACTCTTTTCTGAGCAGCCCTATTTCTGAACCCTGGTGGGGAAGTAACTGCTTCAATGACTGCTAGCCCCTAAGAACATCTGCCCATGGCAACGAATAAGAAAAGCCTTGCAGCTCTAAGGGCTATTCAGCCCTGCTCCTCTGCTGCTACCCTCATCTGTGGTTCGTCCTTCACCTCGTGCAAACCCACCTTCATTTGCCAACGCTAAAACCTGAGCTCATCTCACCACTGCATCCCCCCTTTGAAAGGTTCATGGGTGAAAAATGCCCTTTGGAACAAAACTCTTGCCATCTCTCAATCTATCTGCTTCCCAGATCTCTCCCGGCTGGCCAACGTGACTCACTTTCAATGGAGTTGTTGTTCAGGTAGAGGTGCTCCAGCTTGGCGCTGATGAAAGGGACGTTGGTGAGCTTGTTGTGAGCTAGGTGCAACACCAGCAGGTTGGTGAGGTTGAAGGAGTTCTTGGGGAGCCCCTTGTCAGAGATCTGGTTGTAGTTGAGTCGGATGAACGCCAGGTTGGGAAACTCCTTGAAATAGTCACTGGGGATGTCTTCGATGTTGTTCCTGTCCAGGAAGAGCTGGTGGATGGCACTGGGCACCCCAGGCGGCATTTTCCTCAGGATGTTGTGGGCAAGGTTGAGTTGCATGAGATTCTTGAGTCCTTTGAAGGTGTTTTTATTGAAAACTCCATCACTGAGCTTGTTGTGGTGCAGATCCAAGAGCACCAGGTTCTCCAGCTTGTTGAAGACCCCAGCAGGGATCTTGGAAATCTGATTCCTGCTCAGGCGCAGCTGCTCCAGGTTGGGCGGCAGGAAGGCAGGCACCTCCTTCAGCTGGTTCTTCTCCATGTAGAGGAAGATGAGGTTTTCCAGCTTCTCCAGGACCCGCCTGTCCACTTTCCGGATGCGATTGTTGTCGAGGTTGACCCATTTCAGCTCTGTGGCATTCCTGAAGGACTCCTCCGGGAGGTCATCGATGAAGTTGTTCTGGAGGTAGAGGTAGTGGATGCGGGATGGGATGATGGGGACCTTCCGTAGGTTGCGGCTGTCACAGTAGAGGGCAGAGGGGAAGTCTGGGGGACAGTAGCATTCTCGGGGGCAGTCAGGGAAGATGGAGGGTGGGCCAGGCGGCAGGGGTGGGGGCAGCTCGGTGGGCTCCACGGGTTCAACAGGCTCGACGGGCTCAGGAGGCGGGCGGGTGGGTTTCCGTGGAGGCTTCCTCCGCTGCCCACTCACCTCTGAGATCAGCACAAGAACAAGTGGGAGAAGCAAGCTAAAGGCCAACTTCATGGTCCAGATGTTTGCCTAAGTGAGACAACAAGAGGTGGGTTAGGAAGAATCACAGAATCCTAGAATGGCCTGGCTTGAAAAGGGCCACAATGCTCATAGATGAGCAACCCCCTGCTGTGTGCAGGGTCACCAACAGCAGACCAGGCTGCCCAGAGCCACATCCAGTCTGGCCTTGAATGCCTGCAGGGATGGGGCATCCACAGCCTCCTTGGGCAACCTGTTACAGTGCCTCACCACCCTCTGTGTGAAGAGACCAGTTTAGGTTCTGCATCATCTCCCATCACCACAGTCTCTGGCACCAGGAGTTACTCCACTACTCTGCCAGTAACCTGCTATTTTTTCTCCTGCCCCCTGGGAGTTATCTTTACATCCAACCCCTTTCCCAAGCATGAGTTCACTGAGATCTCCTCTGGCTCAGCTTTATGCCATTGGGGGTTGCTTTTTTTCCATTTCATTTGTGTTTTTGTAGGGCTTGTCTCTTTTCTTCTTTTTTTTTTTTTTGGTTGGTTGGTTGGTTGGTTGATCTTTACTTTTACTTTTTTGGCCTTTCAAAGAACAAAACACAGCTGAGAGAAAAGTCACCTACAGCAGGGCACAGAAATGAGATCAAGGTAACCCTACTCATTCCACATTAAGAGGGAAGAGAGCTACACAGGGGTCCTAAAACTGCAAGGAAACTGTGCAGTAATTCTGGCAAAAGACGAGCGGTCATAAAGACAGGCAGGGAGGGCAGAAATCCCCTGAATAGAGCAGAGGTGAGCAGATGGGCCACGAGGAGCCATTTTCTTGCTCTGAACTGCAGCATCCCTTCAGCTTCAATAAGCAGCATCTCCTGTGGTGGGAAGATGTCCCCAGTGTGGGTTGGGAGCCTCACTGCACCCTTCTTCCAGAAGGATGGATTGCCCTTTCAGAGGCCCTGATGGATTAGGGTTAATTTTGCTCTTGAGCCAAAAAATCAATGATTCAGCAACAAACTGGCTGAGCAACAGTAGCAGGAGGCCTGCAGCAGCTAGCAGAGCAGTGAAGATGGATAGTGTTGTGCTTCAGGGACCAGGATTTAATGCAGGACGGCCCATTTCTAAGGCTGTGTGATAAAAAAAGGACATTTGCAAGATTACGATTGGACAATACTGAAGATATTCTGCCATATGGCTCCCTATGTTACCCAAATAACTGATCCGTCACCTCCAGCCCCACTGCAGGGTGCTAGGCTGGGCTGGTACTTTAGGGGGAGTGCAATAGCAGTGGGGGATCTAGAGGGATCAGACAAGGCCTCTGATTGTCCCTAGCCATTGGGAGCCCCTCCTGGACACCAGCCCAACAGCTCACATCCCCCACTTCTCCTTCTCAACCACATTGTGATTTCTGCGGTTGTTACTAAGCCCACGGAGGCTTTCTGTCCCATCCCTGTTGCCTGAAACAGCAGCAGCAAACTTCTCTGCAAGATTTTTGCTGGGTGCTCTCCAGCTGACAGCTTGGAGGGTGGCAGAATCCAGCTCTTTGCAGATGAGCTCCCCAGAAAGCCTGGTGAAGGAGGTGCTTTGGATGCTTCCCAGGCCAGCTGGAGCAGGCCAGGTTCTGTACTTTCTGTGCAGGCAGCAGATACCTGGGGGTGTTTGTCAGGCTTCTACCAAAGGCATTTGGCACTCCAGTGAGAATGGAGCCCAGGTGGATGAACAGCAAAGCAGATGGAGAAGCTGGGCAGAACCGGGATGGGAAGGGGAACCAAGAGTGGGGAGACAGGGAGGAGGGTGGGGAGGAAGATGAGACAGAGAGGAGAATGGATCTCCCAGGCTAACTGAGCAGATGCCGTGGGAGACATTACAGCTGGGATAGCAGCATGAAGCAGGAGGCTTTGGTGATGCTGGAGCTCAAATCAGTCTGCCTCAAGGTATAGCAGCACCCACCACCAAACCCCCTCCTGTTGCCTTTTCCTGGCATGGAAATGCCTGTCTAGGTCCCCTCCAGCATAACAACCCCCTTTCCACTCCAACTCTGGTGGGTGCTTCTTCCAGCCCCTGAGGCTGTGCCAGCCCTGCTCCCTTTGAAGCAATCCCATGCATTCCTGGGGCTCAAAGTAATTGACTTTCTCCTTGAAAAAAAACCCTGTTCCCACCCCCAGCCCTCCCCTGGCCTGTGTTACTTTCCTTTTTGTCTCACTCCACTCCCATCTGGCTCTGTTTAACCCTACAAGGCTCCCATGCCTGCTGTTTTCAATCAGAGCTCTGGCATCTCGCTGGGGGAAGGGAGGAACAGGGGAAGAGCAGCACCGCCAGATATTCAGCTCAGCAGTATTGCAGTCAGTTCCCTTTGGGGATGTACGTGCATGCTTCTGTGTTGTTGGAGGACAGATTAGACAGCAGGCTGCGGAGTACAGACAAATTCCCAACACACAGGCCCCTCCCTGGCCCCACAGCATCCCCCTCCTCTCCAGCCACGTCCCCCTTTGCACACCCTCTCCCCCCACATTATCCTAAACTTTTGTGCGGGCTTTTGCATCAGCTCCAAAACTCAGCTCTGGATTTTCACATCCACAAAGCCTGGTGGAGTGGGGGGAGATCTGATGCCTGCATTTGGCTGGTGGTGGAGGGAAGAGGTGTTTGGGATGCAGTACGCTGCTGTTCAGCGCACTCTTTGGTGCAGCCATTCAGCTCCTCCCTGCCGCAGGGGCAACTCCACCATGAGGGGCGAGGACGAGGTTGCCCCATTGCCCCATCAGACTCAAGAGCTGAGTCAGCTTTCAGCCCATTCAGAAAACACCTGGCACGTGAGTGCTGTCACACACACAGCCATGCTGCCCCCTCCGCATGAGCCTCCATCACCACAGGGACTCTGCAGAAATAGTGTCTGAGCCAGAAATCCAGACCCAAGAGTGACAGCATCATGTGCTATTTGTCAGTGCAGAAAGAAAGTGTCAGCAGGCAGATGCAAATCCTCCTAACCACTGTACTGCCTGCAACCTGCAGCCTGCGGGGCCAGGACTGCAGCCGGTCTGCCCACTGCTTCCATCGCACGCACAGAAAGCAGCACCCTCTCCCCTGCAATTTGCACGCAGCAGCTCATGGCCTGTGGCACCCACGTCCAGAAAAACATCACCAACCAGTCTTTTTGCAACAAGCCTGAGGCTGCTATGAGATTTACAGTTGCCTCCAGCACACTGGAAGGTTCAAAGCTGGCTCTCCCTGGACACAGAGCCATCAGCAGTCTGTTATTTGTCGACTTTCATACCACTGAATTCACTCACATGAATGCAAGAAATAGATTTTGAAATCCCACACCCTGATCCTGCATGAGCACTGGCTGCTGAATCTGTGGCAGTATCTGCTCTGCAGATGCCTCCACCTTTCCCATCGTGCTCTGATGGGATGCCTCCCCATCAGAGACACCTCCAACACCTCTCCGGGGTGCCTCCCCAAGGAATCCCTGCAGTAGGAATAGAGTTAAATCATGAAGCAATGAATGCCTTCAGGAAACCAACTGCTCGCTGCAGAGGAAAGCCCCATTCTGTGAATAGTTTTAACAGTTCAGGCGCCTCTTGAGCCATGCTGAGTGGCTTGGGTGCAAGACCAGCATCTCCTACAGGACCCTGGTTGGAGTTATGGCAAAGCCTCCAATAAATGCCAGCCTGGAGCTTTTCCCAAGAAGAGACAGCTGTGCATTCAGTATCCCATTACAAACAACAAAAATTCAGCACAACAGCTGGAAATTCCATCCCCAAACAACACTTTGCTTTCCAAATAGTTTACCTTTGGTGCATCTGAGCCCATTGCTCCGAAGCAATGCTTGCTGCTAGCGCAGCGACCGGTGCAGAAATCACAGCTTCTGGAAGAGGAGGGAGTTTTGTAAAGGCTGCTGGGAGATTTTAGGCAGGCACAAATCACATCAGTCTCTCTCAGGTGCCTCCTGCCCTCGGGGCTGCCTCCAGGAGCAGCTGGGTATACAGAGAGCAGCAGCAGGCTCTGGACAGATGTTTCTGGGACCCCTCCTCCTGTGGAGGGGCCAAGAGGGATAAATAAAGGGGACCTTTGTCTTTAGGAAGGTGAGGGTAAAGACTTGATTGCTGCACCATTACATTCCAGCCCATTGCCAATAGCCCCCCTCCCTTCACAGCTTTCCCACTGCTACCTCCATCTCTCATTTCATCTCCACTCCCCAGGCTGGAAAATACCCCCAGCTTCCCTGTGAACCTGCACTCTACAGCAGAACAAGAAATAGTGACTTTAAAAACAGCCAAAAGGAGCCAGCAAAGAATCCCTATTGGTCTCCCTCCTGCTCCAATCTCCATAACAGCCCATTAGCTCTCTACGAGGTTCTGGGTCTGATCAGTTTTAACCAAAACAGGGGGTTCTTTATCCAGCAGTGCCGCAGTGCTGGAAATGCTGGAAAACCACAGTGCACAGTGCCAGGCTGTCCTCTGAGGGAGGCAGACATGCTGCCACCCGCAAGTTCCTGAGGCGCCTGGGGAGCACAGCAGAGCAGAGCAGTGATACAACAGCCCTGCTTGCCCTTTCCCAGTAATTTCCCAGCCAAAAGACAAGCTTTGGGCTGCTGATCCAGCTGGGGTTGGTGCTGCATTTCTTCTCATGTGAACATGCAGGACATGGGTGTCCCAGGGGACCAGCTGTAGTCCGGCTGCAGAGCAGCTCAAATGTGAGCATGGGCTCACAAGCAATGCCTGTGGGCTCAGCTTGAGGACTGCGGGCTGTGGGGATGGCGATGCGCAGCCCATGAGTGCTCCCCCCACTGTGTCACAGTCACCAGACTCATTGCGAAAAGCTCGTTGTGTTTGCCACGACCGCTTCCCCCTGGGATGGTCTGTGAGAAGGCAACGCAGGCAGAAAGCACCACTGCTGCTTCCTCCATCTCAGCAATTCCTCTCTTCTCCTCCTCCTCCCTGCATGCCCTGAGGCTGCTCCTGGCTCAGCCCGCACACCTCCATGCTGCACCCACAGAAGCAAACCCCCATGCACACCCCACTCCCCTCCCAGCAGACGCATCGTGCCAGCTCCGCTTTTGTAAAACGTTGAGAAACACTCCCTGATGCTTTGTCAGCTCCTTCCGCCTCATCCCTTTCTCCCAGACTCTTCCCAAGGCAGAGCAGACCTCCCACAGCCATACTTCCATCCCTCCTGCTGGGAGCACCCAATCCATTGCCCTGCAGCACAGAGGGGCACCCAGGAACCGGCGCTCCCCCAGGCTATGGGATGCTGCAGCCCAGCACCACATAAGGCAGCCCACAGCTCCTAGGAAAGTTTCCAAGCCCTCACATGCTGCGTGCTTTGCATTCGGCTGCCAAGAGAATGAATTTCTGTTTTTCATCCTTTTATTTATTTGTTTCTTTTCCTAAAAGCATCCAGCTCTCAAAAAGGCAAAGAAGGGCAGGTTTGGTGTAAAACTGAATCTCTTCTGCACACCAAAATTTTTTTTCCAGGATTTAAGTGAGCATCCCTGCCCCGTTGCTTTCTCCCTTCGCCTGCTGAAGCAGGCACAAAGAGCCGGCTGTGAGCCAAGCTGCTCCATCTAATGGGGTGGCAAAGGCAGTGTTACGTGCCCTGGGAGTGGGCTGCGTGTTCCAGGCACAGACATTGCCTGTTGGGTAGAAAAGCTCAACCACCGTGCACAAAAGGATGCTAAAATTGCTCCTGAGGCACCCAGATGTTGTTTGGCTGCCTCATCCCACCTCGCTGTACAATCCCAGCCTTCCTCCTGTGGGAGCAGCACCCTGCAGCAGCCCCCCACCCCATTCCCTGCAAACCCAGAGCTCAGTGACCCGGTGCCACAACACACAGAGTGACGGAGGTTCCCTGGGAGCAGTCCTGACTCCAGAGGTGTGCGCTCTCCTCTCAAACTCTCCCACTCCTTGAACACTTTCCGCACTGCTTTCCCAAGCAGGAGATTGCTCTGGGCACGGGGTGGGCTGAGCAGCCCCCTGTCCACCCCCAGCACTTCTACCCAGCTGGAGAATTGAGCCTGCGTGCGGTTGGGAGCTGCCACAGAAAGCACCTGGCAGTTGGCACAACGCTGTCACACACGGGACTTAGTTCTGCTTTCAGCCCCCTCCACCCCCAGCCCTGCACCACGCTGAGCAAAACTCTTGCAAAAACAGAGCAAAGTGAAGGAAAAAGAGACTCCAGCTGCGGAAGAACAGAAGGAAAAGAAAGAAAAAGAAAAAAAAAAAAAAAAAAAAAAAACGAAGAGAGAGAAAAGGAGCAGCGAATGCTGCTGTGCATGTAAGAGACGCTGGAGAGGGCAGGAGCATCGTGGATCAGTACAGTGTCCAGGCTGGGACATCGGGCAAGGCGAGGTGAGCCTCGGGGGAAGCGCCTGCCCACCGCTTACCTGCGTGCACCTCTCCCTCCTCCTGCCTCTTATTAATCCCCAGGGCAGTTTCCCTCTGGCTGCCTCCCTCCTCCTCCTCCTCCTCCTCTCCACGAGTGAGCGGCGGCCGAGCGCGCGGCGCTGCGCGGGGGTTTTGTTCCTGGGAACCGCGGGCGCGGGGTGGGTGGGAGCGCGGGAGGCGGAGGGCTGGGATGGAGGCGAGATGACAACAATAACGTCTTTATCTGGCAGCCAAGCGCTGCGGGCTCCGCACACATGGCCTGCCTGCCGGAGGGCTGGCGTTTAATAACAATTCCTTCTGCTGCGGAGGCTGCTCGGAGCCCGTGTTTAAAAACAAAGCTAATTAATAATTTCAATAAGCCCTTCCCTTGCCACGGCCCCTGCTCCAGGAGCGTGCGGTTGGGCCGGTGTTTTCCAGCTGTGCTTCTGATTACAGAGGGAGCACAGAGCGCGGGGACTCTGCGTGTGCCACCCATCCCCAGAGCTGTCCCACGCGAGGCGGTGACACGGCACGGGGACACACAGCTGCCCTCTGTCCTGCAGAATGGAACCGGTCCCGTGCAGGGGTCTGGACGATGGCATCATAAGACATGGTACGGGTTTCATTCGCTGCCAGTTGGTGAGAGCTTTAATTCAAATCCCGATGATGCTCAGTGAAGAGGAAGGAGCAGAGCTCTGGCAGTGCTGGGTGGCTGAGTGGGACGTGGGTGAAGGGCTGTGGGATTTTACCCTCAGGCAGGTCCTGGGCTGGAAAATTGCTTTGTGCAGAGGGGATGTACTGAGGAACCTCAGTGCTGGGGCTGCAGGGATTGGTGGGCTGGTGGGTGCCCAAGGGGATCGTTTTGCTCCCAGGGGCTCCAGGTGAATATTCACTGTGCTAAGAAATAGCATGGGGCCAAGCAGGGAGTGCCACAGGCACAGCAGGCCATGAGCATCCCCATCCCAAGCACCACTCAGGTTTGGGGGGCAGGGGCTCCCACGCTCCTCATCCTCCCTCCAGCCATGTGGATCTGCAGGAAGGGCCAGGAAAAGCTGTTTTTGCTTAAAGAGAACCTGGACCAAAACCTGCTGGACACTGGCAGCTGCCTGGCAGGGGCTGATACTGCACTGCCCCATTTGGCTGATAGGGCAATCAGCAGTAAGCTTCAAACAGCCAAAATCATTCCCTCCCCAAAACTCCCCCCAGCTGGCATCCCCCGTTTGGCCCTGAGCTCCCTGCAGCCCTTCTGACTGTTCCAGCAGTGGCCTCTTCCTTGCTCCATAATGGGGGTCTCACTGGTGACTGATTCCTGGGAGTGTGATGCCCCAGTGACATGGATGCCCCAAAACCTGCAGGACACCGAAGAGGCACAAAGAGAAGCCATGTTGGTACTTCATGTTGCTTAAACAAAGGGTTGAGATGGAGACGTGTTTGCCAGCTGGAGAAAGATCAAAATCAATATGGAAAGAATATGCTGTTTTCCAGCATGGAGATTAACACCAATTGCTTTGAAAAAATAGTTGAAAGCCTCCAAATTGAAACGAACACGGCTATTTTTAATGTGTTTAGGTTTTGCTTTTTTTCCTGTTACCTAATACATACTCAGCTGAGCACAGAGGTATGCACAGGGGAAACTAAGGCACTGTACAGGGGCATTTCTTGCACAAAAGCTTTCCTGCAAAGCCCAGCACGGAAAGGTCTCCTATTCCAGACTATCCACTGCATTGTAAGAGCTGTGAAGCTGCTCGCACAGCTCCCATTGCTGGGAAGAACAAAAACCTGTAGAAAAATCCTGCAAATCTGAATTTTACTCTCAGCCAAGAGACTTTGTTGAGTTTTCTTTCTGTAGGAATTTCTCACGGAGTCCAAGTTCTGAATCCACCTTCAAAGCTGTCCTGGTTTGGTTTGTGAGCTGCAGCCCTGGCTGCCACATGGCATGGTTGCAGAGAAACCTTTCCCAGCTCTTGCAGGCAAAAGGGATGCTGGAGGGCAGCCGGTGGCATGCCTGCTCTATGGGTTTTGTTGGCTCTGGTCATCCCTGGTACCACCTCCCTTTGGTTGATGCCCCTTCCCATCCTGCTTCTGGCCCTCCCTCGTGCATTTGCTCTGCAGCAGAAATACCTCTTTGGTCTGGCGGATGTAGAGAAGGAAATGTCTGAGTGTGAAGGCACCAACAGGCAGAGCCAGGGCTGTGAGAACGGCCTGTCCCCACCAGGCAGAGCAGCAGGCGGCTGCTGAAGGCGTCCATGCAGAGCAGGGAGCTCTGCTGTGGGCTCTGAGGCTGCGCCTGGATGGGCATGAGCTGCAGCACACACAGGGGGAACAGCGGGCAGAGAGGGCTAGGGATGGGGGTCTGAGGAAATCTGTGACAAGAGCACTCTGTGAAAGCCATTTAAAGCCAGCAGCCCCAGGGCTGTAAGAAGTAGAATTATGCAGTGCAAGAGACTTCTCAAACGCTGACAAGCAAAGAGTTGAGCCCAGGCTGGGCTCCTCTTCCCCGTACTACAGCCCGCGATGCCCAAAGGTAATGCCCAGGACAGAGGAAGATGCTTATTCTTCATGTTATGACAGCATCGGCTGCCCCATCCCAAGCCAAGACTTTGCTCCGCTCAATGCTGTGCAAACACAGATGATTAATGGCATGGTGCTTCTTTCTGACAGCCAGATCTTCAAACTCCCCTTGGAGAGCTCAAAAATTTCTTTAAAAAAAAGAAAAAAAAAAAAATCAGAAAGGGAAAAAATAAAGACAGGAAATCCGAGCCGCCCCTGCGGCCAGTGGGTCGGATAAGCGCGTGCTTTATGCACCACGTCAAAGCAGGCTGCCCTCACCGAGCGCCCCAGCCCTGAGCAGTGACATCCCCAGGCCACCCCTCCCACGGGTGCTGCTGCGGTGACCCGGAGTCATGGGAACGAGTCCTGAGCAGGGACAAGGGAAGCCCTGAGCTGCAGCTCCCCTGGGGCTCTGCACCTCTGTGTGAAGCGCACGGTGTTGCCACCAGCCTGCAGAATTAAGCTCTGTCACCCCCCACCCATCCCCCACCCCCGCCGACTCACCATAGAGCTCATTCCCAGGAGTCAGAAGCTGTAAAAGCGTCACCAGGAGAAACATATGGCTACAAACAAAGCTCTGGAGGTGGAAGTGAGCAAAGGGGAAAAGTATGCTGCTCTGTCATGCACAGATCCTGCTCTCCCGTCGCTGGGATGCTGCGGGATGTGCTGCACACAGGGCTGGGCAGAGCACGGCTGCTCCATGCCTACATTTCCACCTCCAGCAAACATTTGGACACATGCACTGTGAGTGCAGCTGCAAAGGGGATGTGTGGAAGGTGTTCAAAATGCCCATCAAACAAATCAGCTCCCAGCCCCAAGTGCTCTACAGGCAAAAAGATTTGTCCCAGTGCTTGGCTGGGGTGGGAGATTGGGTCACTTCAGTCAATGTAACACAAAGTGAGGGACGGAGGCAGAGGAAATTGGTCAAATCAGCTCCTCACAGATACGCACAGCCCAAACGCTGCTGCCTTCCTTCCAAGCGTGGCCAGGCCCCTCCATCCATCCCTGGGCATCTCATGCTGCTGGAACCAGGATGCAAACACCCCATGGACCAGGACATGCTTCTTCACCCGCTCAGACAGAGGCAGATGGAGCCAGGCTGGAAAAAACGAGCTGCCCTTGATTCCAAGTGAGAAACACAGCTGAAAAAGCCAGCTGACCTTTGCCCCAACCAGGTGTTTAAAAAGAAAGAGAGGAAAAACAAGAGATAATCCTGTTTTGAGCACAGCTGCTGTTTTGGTCATTAAATTTACAGGCAAATCACCTCTCAGGATCATCCTCAGCAGTTGGGTGCCTGAGTACAGGCACTGCGGCAGCCAGGGAAGGGTTAGGGAATGGAAAATGCCTGCAAGCTTCTCGTCCCACAGCCCCACCAGAGCTGACGCAGAAAAGGAATGCAAACCCCAATGCCTCTCGCTTGCAGCCGTAAACCCCTTCCTGCTTGGCTGTTGCCAGAGACGTGATGAAGCGGGAACAGGCCAGATTGGATCAGGACAGCACCGGCGCTCGGTCTTGCCCTGCTATGGGACAAAATGCAGGGAGGAGAAAAAGTGGATCTGCATCCCCCATCACCTGGGGAAACTGAGGCAAGAGGGAGCTCCACTCTTATCAAGCTGTCTTTTCCTTTAGACAACCTGCAGCATTTCCCAAGCAATGCCAAGGTTTTATTGTTATTCCTCTTTCAGCCTTGGCATGGGGGAGCTGGCATACCTACACCAGCACAAGTACTTTACAGCCAGCACTGGGCTTTGTCTCACCCCTGGTGCTGAGCTTGCAGTCACCCCGTGGGGATGGAGCAGCGCCTCCCCAGGGGACTGAGACCTAGCAAACTCATTGCTGGAACAGCCTGTGGAAGTAGCCCAAGTAAAAGGCAAAATGCAGGAAGGGGCTCAAAGCTCAAAGCAGAAGGGAAGTGGCATCGCAGTTCATGAGGACCCCGTCCCTGCTGCATGTCACACACAGCTGGCAGTGGGGCTGGCCAATAGCTGGTGGTGGACACGGCACAGCTGTCAGCTCCACTCCATCTGCACTGTGACCACTGAGCCCCCCCAGCACACCCCCAGCCCCTTCCTCCCCATTCCACATCTCCTGGGCTATTCTCATGGCTGCTTTAAGTGCAGGGAGGAGATACAGAATTCATCAGACCTCGCATTTCTTGGGGATTAAATCATCCAGCTCATTTCTCTGAGGGAGAGAAGTCCAAACCCCCCTTTTTTTTTTTTTCCTGCAGGGCCGAGCAGCCACTCATCAGCTCTTGGCAGCGGGGCACGGCGCTGGGCCAAGTTGCTGCTGCGTGCTCAGCTCACAGCCGCAGTGCTGGGGGCTGGGAGCTGCGGGGTATCAACCAGGGCCCCCTCCCTGCCCCACGGTGCCCCTGCCTGGAGCACCCCCACCCAGCCCTGCCATCGTGTCCTCTCCTCTCCTGGGTTTGGTGGCCCAGTTTGCTATGGTTCAACAGTGGTTTGCACTGGGAGTGCACAGGACACGAGGACCTTTCCTCCCCTGAGCAAAAGCTGCATTTTTCCAAGCTGTCTTGGGTGTGACAGTAGCCTCTATGTGGAAAATGGCCCCCATCATTCCCTGTCTGGATATTCTATGGAAAGGACATTAGGGCTGATAATTTAGATAAACAAAGAGAAAGTGACCCAGGCTCTGGAGCTCATGCTGAACCCTAGGGCTGCTCCTGAGGAAGTTGCTGCTTCCACCCTGCCCCAATGTCACTGCTTCATCCCAGAGATCCCATCCTGCTCACTGGGCCCCTGTGAACAGAGGGGAAACTGAGGCATGTGTCCAGGGATGTCAAGAAGGCAACAACGTGTTCCCACATCCCTGGGGTCTGCAAGAGACCCTACCAAGCTCCAGTACATGCTGCTCCACCTCTCCAATCCTTGGAAACCCCAGGACATCCTCTCCCTGCTCTTTACAAGCAGTTTGACCACTCACTGAACTATATGTGATGGGTTTCACAGAACAACTCATATGAATGTCAAGCTGGGAGCAAACCATTTGGCAGCTGAGCAGAGGATGAGCAGCAGCAGCAGCACTACCCAGCCCCAGCAGACCAGGAGCCCCGCCAATGTCTATTTCATCTCTTGTTGTTGGCTATTTTTTTGGCTGCAGAGCCCTAAATCCCCAGGGGAGCAATTTATTACCCCTGGGGATAAATGGTGCTGATGAGGGGACCTTCATTGTCCTTCTCTGGCAGAGGTCCATGACTCAAATGGGTCCCCAGACAGGCACAGTGACAAGGGCAGGTGACCTAGTAACCCCACAGTGACTGCCTTACCCATCCCTGAGACAAGGCTAGGGAGCTCATGTGATCTTAGGCAGCATCTCAGACCCAGATGCTTCAGGAGACAGCCAAAAGTACATGGAAATGCTTCAGATAGCTCCTGGAAGGAGCTCGGGTGGCTGGGAGCCACCTCCTCCTGCCCTGCAGTCCCCAGTGCCACCACAGAACCCATGGGCTCTGGGGTATTGCTGCTGCCCAGAGACCTCAGATGGGGAGGATTTCCCCCCTTTTCCTGCCCTCCTGCTCCCACCACCCCCACATCCCCGTCACCCCGCACGTGAAGGCAGCAGCAGTGCCTGCTCCCCATTAGCAGCTTTCTGGGAGACAGCACTGGGAACAGCCCAGCAAACACAGACCCAGCAGCTGCCAGCATCCTCCCCAGGAGCCCATCCACAGCTCCTCCACATCACCCACCCCATGTCCATCCCACCATCCCCTCCATCCCCTCCCACCCAGGAACGGGGTGGCCTGCAGTTCCAGCCCCATGGCATGTGGGGCGGACACACTGCCCCACATCCTCTCTGTAGTGCCACGTGCTCCAGCAGAGCTTTGCAGATGGCCCCACTCTGGCATCCCACAGCTGCTGTCAGTTGAGACAAGCTGTGCAGCTGCTTGCTCTCCAGCAGGCACACTTGATTTAGCTCCTGATAAAGGGGGACAGTTCTCCCCTCTCCTTGTTATTCACACGGGACAGGAGCTCACTGTGCTCCCTGGTGCATTTCGTGCTGCTTGACACGCTGCAGCCCACAGTGGGGCAGGGACAGGGCACTGTGCCACAGCCCATGGTGGTAGGGAAGGATGGGGGCTCCTGGGGGCATCTTGGAGCTGAAAAAGTGGGCAGTGTTGGTCAGAATAAGAACAAGGCAGTGATTCAATGGAATGAAGCACACTGGAAACCATGAAAGCAAATATTCCGAGCCGAGCACACAATTAGCTGGTGGGACCCATCATCACAAGATGCCGCTCAGGCCAAATGGCTCTATGGGGTTTTAAATAAATACATGAAAAATATGTGAGGGAATGCCCACATGTAGGGAGACTGCTGTCATTTGGGGCGGCAGGAGCAATGGGAGCAAGCATTCCAATGAGCAGAAAAGTGCTGGGGACACAGAAGCAAAGGAATCATCAAGCCGTGGTGGACATCTGCCTGCTTCTCAGGTGATGCATTATGCCCCTGGAGGGATGGAAGGGATTACCCAGCTATTGGCATGCAGGTGACACAGCTCCCCACTGTCTGAAGCGCTGTCCCAAAGCCTCTGTCACCTCCCTTGCCCTGTCCAGGCGTCACTGCTGGCTGTTTGCAAAGGAAACACCTGAGGTGCATCTGGCCCTTCCAGCCCTCCCTTGGGTTTGGCCTTCATCCCTGCTCCTCCTCCTTGCCCAGTATTTTTCCTCTCCAAAGGCAGGAGCCAGCCGGCTGCTTCCCTCACATGACATCAGCTGCACTGTGATCCTGGCTGCTCCCCAGGGTGGTAGGGGACAAAGTGCTGCAGCCCACCAGTGCCTGGGGGACTGCTCCCACCCCCAGCATCTGCTCCACCACAGTATCCTCAGAGGCGATAACTGGGGTGATGTGGGCTAAGGCTGATGGACCTGGAGGGTAAAAACAGCTCCTTTCCAGCAAGCAACCCCAGCTGGGGAAGGCATGACTGGGGACATCCTGGTGCTGGTCTTGCTTCTTAATAAATATGCTCCTCCTATGATGACCTGACAGTGCGTTTTGGGCAGAATGACAACACCGTCCCTTCCAACACAGCAGCCCCTTGCCTGCTCAGCTGCCCCCTGGAAAACCCCAGCCTGAGCAACAGACACCTCCAGCAGCCTCACTGCAACAGCTGCCAAAGGCACGTGAGACATCCCGAGCTGGGGGCTGGGCTGCACGTCTCAGATAGGGGACATTTCCTACATGCAGACCCTTGCTGTGCACTGAGCATGCAGCAGTCCCCAGCTCCACACCATGTGTGTGTGATGAGAAGGTGAAAGCAGAGCACAGGAGGCTGGGGGTGATGGATGCAGCCTGAGCTGGGAAGCAGTCTCAGTGGCCCCATTCTATTGCTGCTCATTGCACTCGGTGCGGGTTTGCCTATATTGCTTGGCGGAGTGTGAGTAGCAAACAGGCCTCATCAAAACCCCAGAGATACCCAGAAATGGCTCCAAATATTACAGCTATAAATTCAGCTCATTTCTCTAAATGCTCAGAGCTGCCAGGGAGGTTGACTCAATCTCTCTCCTGGTGGCTTTGTGCCGAATCCCACCAGACACTGTTCCCCCTGCAGCTCCTCATGAGGGTCTGCAATACACATCCCACCATACCCCAAGCTCCTACTGGTGCAACCTCCACTCTCACACCCCTTCTGTCCCCAAGGTCTTACCATCTATTCCCCCTCTCCCCTCCTGCCAGCTTTCCCCTGTCCCTTTGAACCATGGCTACTTTTGCAGCACTGCTGGGACCACTCCGTGTGGCTGCTCTGCCTTGTGCTTTTCCCCACGCGAGCAAAGGCTCCATGTTCTCCTCTCAGGCTCTTTCAGGGAAGGCAGATCCCACTGGAGATGGGTTTCTTTTCTCTCCAGGTTGACTTTTCCCATATTCTTCCTTTCACATGCTGGACCATACACAAGCAGCTGGCTGCCCCAGACACAGGACAGACCCAGCCCCACTGCTCCCCTGCAGTGGCTATTTGCAGGTAAGAGTTAACTCTTCCTCACGAGCTCTGCATGTCCCTCAGCTGTGTACATTGAAGGCAAGCATCAGATTTCCAAAAACATTCCAGGACTGATCCTCCAGAGACTATATCCTCACATCCCCCCATAAACGTATTCCTTTCTCCTCAGGAAGAGCAGGGCTATAATTAACCCTGGATCATCCCTGGGGTTGGGAGAGCTGGGAATGCTTCAGAACACGGACTCCTCACCCAGCCCTTTCTCCAGCCACTCATCACCCA